CTTGGGCGATCTTGGTCGGAATAAGGCGATCTTGGTATCGTTGGAAAGCTCTGGATTTCTCCTGCATGATCAAGCATTTAAACTTGGAGAAAAACACAGGGATGATAATATCCAACAGCCATGCAGAATGACATATGCTCATGCAAATAATGCACGCATGAATAGCACGAGCACTCGGCAGGACGTTAGGATGACATGCACTCAGAAGGACAGGCAGGGACAGGGTCAGAAACAAGACTCTCAAGGTAGTCTAGGCGGTACACAGCAGCAAAGTCAACAAGCTCAGCGACTAAGGCAGACGGAGCAGGAGACGAAAACGAAGGGTCCGTCACCACCATAGCAAGAAGCGAGTAACAGTCGGACTGGACGCACGAGCAAGGTCAGACGGAGGGTGAGCAACGTCAGGAAGAGAGGACGCAGGAGGTAACGGCAGGACAACACGCTATGGAACAGAGGAAGGACGGAGTGTCATATCGTGAGTGCCTGGGATAGCCGGAGCACGTTGACGACGAACACGAGGAATACGAGCACGGACAGCAGCTCTAGGCTCGGGCTCAAGGTCAAAGCTGGACTCAGGCTCTCGACGCTCAGGGGTGGAAGCACGAGTCTCAGGCTCTCGACGCTCAGTCAGGGACTGTGTCACCGCAATGTAAGGAGCAGGAGCAGGCACTGGGGAGTGCGGTAGCAGCTGCGGCTGTGACTGGTCTGCCAGTGGAAACAGTAACGAAGGAGTAGTACCTGCCACAGGGAAGTCAGTAGCACCTGGCGGAAGACTGAGAAGGTGGCGAAGAGCACCAGCAGCTCCCGTACCTCCAGCACGAGCAGCTCCTCCAGTACTCCCAGCAGCACCTCCAGCACCAGTAGCAGCAGCACCTCTAGTACCTCCAGCACCAGCAGCACCTCCAGTACCTCCAGCACCAGCAGCACCAGTAGCTCCAGGTCCTCCTGCACCAGCAGCACCTCCAGTACCTCCAGCACCAGCAGCAAGACCAGCACCTCCAGCACCAGCAGTTCCAGTAGCTCCACGTCCTCCAGCACCAGCAGCAGGACCGGCAGCTCCAGCACCTCCAGCACCAGTAGCTCCACGTCCTCCAGCACCAGCAGCACCTGTAGCTCCAGGTCCTCCTGCACCAGCAGCACCTCCAGCACCAGCAGCACCACCAGCTCCGGCAGCTCCAGTACCTCTAGTACGAGCACCTCCAGAACCAGCAGCTCCCGCAACTCCAGCACCAGTAGCACCATCACCTCCAGTGCGAGCAGCTCCAGTAGCCCCAGCACCTCCAGTACCAGCAGTACCTCCAGCACTAGCAGCTCCAGCACCTCCAGCACCAGCAGCAGCTCCAATAACTCCAGGCCTTGCAGCTCCAGTACCTCCAGCACCAGCAGCACCTCTAGTACCTCCAGCAGTACCTCCAGTACCTCCAGCACCAGTAGCACCTCCAGCACCAGTAGCACCTCCAGTACCTCCAGGCCTAGCAGCTCCAGTACCTCCAGCAGTACCTCCAGCACCTCCAGCACCAGCAGTACCTCCAGGACTAGTAGCTCCAGCACCAGCAGCACCTCTAGTACCTCCAGCACCAGCAGCACCTCCAGCACCTCCAGCAGTACCTCCAGCACCTCCAGCACCAGCAGTACCTCCAGGACTAGTAGCTCCAGCACCAGCAGGACCGTACCCTCCACGCACGAATCGCCTGCGGCGAGAGCGTCTCAAGTGCATTAGGCTGCGGTGGCTGTCCAGCTCCTCCACATCCAGTAGTGGTAGCTCTAGCACCTCCAGCACCAGCAGCACCTCTAGTACCTCCAGCTCCAGGATCTCCAACAGGGTCACCCACAACTCCACCGCCACTAGGACTCGCAGCACCCCCAGATTCAGCACCCCCATTCGCAGCACCCCCAGAACCAGCACCCCCAGGCACAGCACCCCCAGAACCCTCACCCTCTGTCTCAGCACCCCCAGACTCAGCACCTGTAGTCGCAGCTCCAGAGTCCACAGCAGCAGGCTGCGGAGGCGGCGAAGACGGTCGAGGCGGAAAACCCGGGGGGGTTTCCAAGCGTAGAGAGCGGCGAGTGGCCGCCGTGTCGTCCGCAACTGGGTCACCCCCCTCAGCTGGGCCAGAGGAGTCAGAAGAGATCTCCACTGGCTCATCCAAGGGGGGTGGGTCGACCTGAGACACACCTGAGGGAGCAGGACCCTGTGGGGGGAGGGGGTCTACCGGGGGGGGGACTGGTACTAGGAAGAGGGGTGCTAGGGGAACCGGGTGGGACGCGTGCGGGTGTAACTGGTAGAAACAGACAGACTCGTCAAAGGTGACGTCCTGGGAGGAGAAGACTCGACGCGAGGCCGGGTGGTAGAACTGCCACGGCGGGGCGTCAGTGGGGAAGCCAAGGAAGACGCAGCGGAGAGTGCGAGAGGAGAGCTTGCTCGCTTTGGCATCGCGAACAAGGGAGAGCGCGCCCCAGACCCGAAACACTGACGCATCACCAGGCTTCCCCGTCCACCGGAGTGTGGGCGAGGTCTCTGGCGCAGAGACACGAGGCCAGAGGTTGAGCTGATGCGCAGCGTATCGGACCGCAAACGGCCACAGAAAATGGGGAGCAGCCGCATGGATCGTGGAGGTGCGAGCAACCTCCATGATCAAGCCAATGCGACGCTCAGCAATCCCATTATGCTGAGGAGAGGTCGGAAGCGTGAACGTCTGGCGGATGCCCTTGTCTCGACAAAACCCCGCAAGGAGGTCAGAAGAGAACTCACCGCCCCTATCAAAGTGCAGACGCAGGACTGGGAAGTCCTGCTGAAACCGCTCGTGCAGCTGGAGACGAGTAGCACGGATCCAGGGGATCAGGACACCGCTGACGTCCGCCTTGCGCCGCAAGGGGAAGACAGTGGTGTAGTTTGTGTAGTCGTCAACAACCAGCAGGAAGTAGCGCTCGCGGTCTGCAGAGGAGGAGTGAGGAGCGGCGCGCTGCCGCCCCTCGATGCAAGGAAGGCACAGCGGGGCAAGCGAGCGCGGCAGGGGGGGCAGGGACCTGGGGAGGCCAGAGACAAGGAGACGGGAGTGCATGCTGCGTAGACGCGGCAGGGAGGGGTGACCAAGACAATGGTGCCAGCGCTGAGTCTCGTGCGTGAGTACTCTGCACGAGCAAGACGCAGCTAACTGTCCCGACGCAGACGCCCGACTCGACGCAGCCACCTGACCTGACTCAGCCACCTGTGCAGACGCAGTGGTCAGTGTGTACAGACTAGACCCAGGCTGTCGAGTGAACGTAGCTAGGTGACGGCCAGTCCGGAAGCACGTACAGATCGCCACACGCTGCCCTCCAGGAATAAAGGTATCAACCCAGACATCCTGAATGGCAGCGTTGCTCACCAAGTTCATAGAGAACGTGGGGAGGTGGAGACCTGACAGTGAACCGGAGGGGACTGCTGGACACGGGAGGACAGTGGAGGCTCGCGCAACTACTGGGCCCCCAGAGGGGTCAGCCAGTGAGACTGGGACAGGTGCTGCGAGTGGTGTGACTGTGGTGCAATCACGAAAGAAGCAACGTGACGCACCTGTAGAGAGCGTGAAATTGTGCAAGGCCTCAGCTGAGGCAGGACCTGTGGCAGGAGACGCACTAGCACCTAGAGCGTCGGCAGACTCACGGGCACCTAGAGCTGCAGCAGACTCACCAGCACCTGGAGGGGCTGCAGACTCACTAGAACCGAGAGCAGCAACCTCTACACAACCAGGGACGCATCGCTGAGAAGCACAGTCGCGAGGTCGCTGAGGCCACATAAAACCAAAACCCCCACCACCAGGACGGCCTCGCTGAACAACCCACGCACGATCCTGCTGAGGGGTGGGGTCGTCCGGGAGAGGCAGTACCCGCTGCTGTCCACCCCTAGCCGCTGCAACTGCCGCGATAGTGGCCATGACAGACAGTGACGGTCAGTAGTAGGTCCAGCACCTCCAGCACCAGCAGCAACAGTAGTAGCACCAGGGAGGCTCGGTGGGGCTGGGCGGCTGCACCTCCAGCACTCCCCGAAGCACCTCCGAAACAGGAGAACGAGCAGCAGCAGCAGCAGCAGTAGTAGCAGCAGGGCGGCTCGGGTTGGGCAGGGCGGCTCGTGCTGGACGGAGCGGCTCGGCCTGGGCGGCGCGGGCAGCAGGGCGCGCGCTGTGCAGGGCAGCAGGGCGCGACGCGCGGGCTGCAGCAGAGCGCGACGCGCGGGCTGCAGCAGAGCGCGAAGCGCGGGCTGCAGCAGGGCGCGACGCGCAGGGCAGGGGCTGCTCACGGGCAGCAGGGGCGCTCGGGGCACTAGGGGCGCTCGGGGCAGGGGCTACTCGCGGGCAGCAGTGGCGCTCGAGGCAGGGGCTACTCGCGGGCAGCAGGGGCGCGCGTGACAGCAGGGCAGCGCGCTAGGGCAGGCAGTGCGAGTAGCTGCAGGGCAGCGTGACACTGTGCGAGAGGGCCGGACAGCGCAAGGGCGCTTCGGCCAGGATCTAGCGGAACGATCGGTGGACCCTAAAAACCTAACAGGTTTCCTGCTCTGAATACCATGTCAGAATCACTTTGCATTGAGCAGCAGGATGAGTACAAGTATGAAACCTTAAAGGGTTGTACTCACTAGAGTATGCCCCACTACAGCCTAGAAGCATACAAATGTAATTTGACAAAAAAAACGGTAGCTGGCATAACAGCAAATATTTTAGTTCCTCATTTAAAAATGCCGGATTTCCTTTGGGAGCCCTTCTTGCAACGCTATGCCTACTGGTATATCATGCCTGGATGTTTCAACAATACGTATGTGTTTTAATTGTTTATTCCTTTGCTAATATATTCTTATGAATCTACTGAATCTTTGTTATCATCGCTGATGTGGTGGTAAGGCATTTAGGTGTAAGCCTGTTTGGTGATAGCAACAATGGTGGTATATGGTATGTATTCTCACTGTCACGGTCACTAACAAACCCGTAGATCAGTCATGCTCCATCCCCATCAGCATTATCCCCCCACCATCACCTCCCCTCCTCCCCGTCATCCTCCCCTTCCTCCCCTGCCACCTGGATCGACAGCTCTGCCAGCTGGCGCTCTGCTACTGGAGCAGGGGCGTTGGTGAGCAGGCACTGGGCGGCGGTGGTCTTGGGGAAGGCAATGACATCACGGATAGATGGCTGGTTGAGCAGCAGCATTGCCAGGCGGTCCAGCCCATAGGCTATGCCACCTGATGTGAGAAGGAGGTGAGGAGGGGAAGATGGAACGGGGAGATGATAAGGGGGCTGGTCTTAGGGATGGCTGTCACGTCTTTCATGGACGGCTGGCCGAGCAGCAGCATGGCCAGGTGGTCCAGCCCATACGCTATGCCACCTGGAGCAAGGCTGACAACACGAGGGGCCGGGACAGATGAAAACGGCACAGGGTGGCCTTGCGGAGGGCTGTCATGCCTTCGATGGATGGATGTTTGAGCAGCAGCATAACCAGACAGTCTAGCTACCAACTTATGCCACTGGGAGTGGGAACGGAAAAGGCAGAGGGCAGAGATAGAGGGCTTGACGAACAAGATGGAGGTGGTGTAGAGGTGAAGGTGTGAGAGTGAAGGGAGCATGAGAGCAGCAGAATGAAGAGCATTGGAGTTTCTCACCATGTGGCGGGGCTCCCAGGTCGAATGCCTCCATGAGGTACCCAAACTTCTCCTCCGCCTGCCACGGGGGGAAAGAGTTGAAGGGAGAGAGTTGAAAGTTGAAGGCAATCATAGCTGTGATGAAAGAAACAGCATGTAATACACGAGGGAGAGCGTGAGGAGGGGGCATGAGCGCGAGAGGAGGCCCAAGGTACACACAGAACAGCAACACCATCTGCAAGCTGGCTCTTGTTCTGCTGCCAGAGCTACAGATGACACACAGCAGCACTGACCACTTCTGTGGTGGGAGCTGGTGGTAAGGCGTGGTGGCTTCTTTGGACTCGGGGGGTGCATTGTGGTGCTTCTCTCACCCCTCCCTCGCTTCCCCATTCACTCTCCTCCCTTGCCTGTCCTGGGTCAGTTCGGGCCCATGCACCCAAACAAACCCCCACACAACTCCCACTCCCTACCCCCCCCCCAACCCCACACACCCCGCCCCTCCCCCCATCCCCCCCTTCCCCCCCACTCCAGCACATGCACCCTTCCCCCATCCTCCTTCCCCCCCTTCCCCCCATGGTCCTCCCCTCTTTCTCGCCCTGCTCCATCGGACCTGTTGGGGGGTGAGGCCGATGCAGTCAAACACCTTCTCCTGCACGTCCCGCCGGAAAATGCGCAGACTGCCACCTCCGATCTGAAGGGCACAGCGAGCAAGAGAGAGGGGAAAGAGGGAGGGAGAGGAGGAGGGCGGGAGAGAAGCAGGAACGAGAAATATTTCTTCATAACAGATGCTTCAAAGGCTACTCTTCCAACATGCACAGACTGGCACTGACATGCGATGATGACACTGACATGCGATGATGCCACTGACATGCGATGATGCCACTGACATGCGATGATGCCACTGACATGCGATGATGCCACTGACATGCGATGATGCCACTGACATGCGATGATGCCACTGACATGCGATGATGCCACTGACATGCGATGATGCCACTGACATGCAAGACTGACACTGACATGCGATGATGCCACTGACATGCGATGATGCCACTGACATGCGATGATGCCACTGACATGCGATGATGCCACTGACATGCGATGATGCCACTGACATGCGATGATGCCACTGACATGCGATGATGCCACTGACATGCGATGATGCCACTGACATGCGATGATGCCACTGACATGCGATGATGCCACTGACATGCGATGATGCCACTGACATGCGATGACTGCCACTGACATGCGATGACGCCACTGACATGCGATGACGCCACTGACATGCGATGACGCCACTGACATGCGATGACGCCACTGACATGCGATGACGCCACTGACATGCGATGACGCCACTGACATGCGATGACTGCCACTGACATGCGATGATGCCACTGACATGCGATGATGCCACTGACATGCGATGATGCCACTGACATGCGATGATGCCACTGACATGCGATGATGCCACTGACATGCGATGATGCCACTGACATGCGATGACGCCACTGACATGCGACGATGCCACTGACATGCGATGACGCCACTGACATGCGATGATGCCACTGACATGCGATGATGCCACTGACATGCGATGATGCCATGATGCCACTGACATGCGATGATGCCACTGACATGCGATGATGCCACTGACATGCGATGATGCCACTGACATGCGATGACGCCACTGACATGCGATGACGCCACTGACATGCGATGATGCCACTGACATGCGATGATGCCACTGACATGCGATGATGCCACTGACATGCGATGATGCCACTGACATGCGATGATGCCACTGACATGCGATGATGCCACTGACATGCGATGATGCCACTGACATGCGATGATGCCACTGACATGCGATGATGCCACTGACATGCGATGATGCCACTGACATGCGATGATGCCACTGACATGCGATGATGCCACTGACATGCGATGATGCCACTGACATGCGATGATGCCACTGACATGCGATGATGCCACTGACATGCGATGATGCCACTGACATGCGATGATGCCACTGACATGCGATGATGCCACTGACATGCGATGATGCCACTGACATGCGATGATGCCACTGACATGCGATGATGCCACTGACATGCGATGATGCCACTGACATGCGATGATGCCACTGACATGCGATGATGCCACTGACATGCGACGATGCCACTGACATGCGATGACGCCACTGACATGCGATGACGCCACTGACATGCGATGACGCCACTGACATGCGATGACGCCACTGACATGCGATGACGCCACTGACATGCGATGACGCCACTGACATGCGATGACGCCACTGACATGCGATGATGCCACTGACATGCAATGATGCCACTGACATGCGATGATGCCACTGACATGCGATGATGCCACTGACATGCGATGATGCCACTGACATGCGATGATGCCACTGACATGCGATGATGCCACTGACATGCGACGATGCCACTTACATGCGATGACGCCACTGACATGCGATGACGCCACTGACATGCGATGATGCCACTGACATGCGATGATGCCACTGACATGCGATGATGCCACTGACATGCGATGATGCCACTGACATGCGACGATGCCACTGACATGCGATGACGCCACTGACATGCGATGACGCCACTGACATGCGATGACGCCACTGACATGCGATGATGCCACTGACATGCGATGATGCCACTGACATGCGATGATGCCACTGACATGCGATGATGCCACTGACATGCGATGATGCCACTGACATGCGATGATGCCACTGACATGCGATGATGCCACTGACATGCGATGATGCCACTGACATGCGATGATGCCACTGACATGCGATGATGCCACTGACATGCGATGATGCCACTGACATGCAATGATGCCACTGACATGCGACGATGCCACTGACATGCGACGATGCCACTGACATGCGATGACGCCACTGACATGCGATGACGCCACTGACATGCGATGAGGCCACTGACATGCGATGATGCCACTGACATGCGATGATGCCACTGACATGCGATGATGCCACTGACATGCGATGATGCCACTGACATGCGATGATGCCACTGACATGCGATGATGCCACTGACATGCGATGATGCCACTGACATGCGATGACGCCACTGACATGCGATGACGCCACTGACATGCGATGACGCCACTGACATGCGATGACGCCACTGACATGCGATGACGCCACTGACATGCGATGATGCCACTGACATGCGATGATGCCACTGACATGCGATGATGCCACTGACATGCGATGATGCCACTGACATGCGATGATGCCACTGACATGCGATGATGCCACTGACATGCGATGATGCCACTGACATGCGATGATGCCACTGACATGCGATGATGCCACTGACATGCGATGATGCCACTGACATGCGATGATGCCACTGACATGCGATGACGCCACTGACATGCGATGACGCCACTGACATGCGATGACGCCACTGACATGCGATGACGCCACTGACATGCGATGACGCCACTGACATGCGATGACGCCACTGACATGCGATGACGCCACTGACATGCGATGACGCCACTGACATGCGATGATGCCACTGACATGCGATGATGCCACTGACATGCGATGATGCCACTGACATGCGATGATGCCACTGACATGCGATGATGCCACTGACATGCAATGATGCCACTGACATGCGATGATGCCACTGACATGCGATGATGCCACTGACATGCGACGATGCCACTGACATGCGATGACGCCACTGACATGCGATGACGCCACTGACATGCGATGATGCCACTGACATGCGATGATGCCACTGACATGCGATGATGCCACTGACATGCGATGATGCCACTGACATGCGAAGATGCCACTGACATGCGATGACGCCACTGACATGCGATGACGCCACTGACATGCGATGACGCCACTGACATGCGATGACGCCACTGACATGCGATGATGCCACTGACATGCGATGATGCCACTGACATGCGATGATGCCACTGACATGCGATGATGCCACTGACATGCGATGATGCCACTGACATGCGATGATGCCACTGACATGCGATGATGCCACTGACATGCGATGATGCCACTGACATGCGATGATGCCACTGACATGCGATGATGCCACTGACATGCGATGATGCCACTGACATGCGATGATGCCACTGACATGCGATGATGACACTGACATGCGATGATGCCACTGACATGCGATGATGCCACTGACATGCGATGATGCCACTGACATGCGATGATGCCACTGACATGCGATGATGCCACTGACATGCGATGATGCCACTGACATGCGATGATGCCACTGACATGCGATGATGCCACTGACATGCGATGATGCCACTGACATGAGATGATGCCACTGACATGCGATGATGCCACTGACATGCGATGATGCCACTGACATGCGATGATGCCACTGACATGCGATGATGCCACTGACATGCGATGATGCCACTGACATGCGATGATGCCACTGACATGCGATGATGCCACTGACATGCGATGATGCCACTGACATGCGACGATGCCACTGACATGCGATGACGCCACTGACATGCGATGACGCCACTGACATGCGATGACGCCACTGACATGCGATGACGCCACTGACATGCGATGACGCCACTGACATGCGATGATGCCACTGACATGCGATGATGCCACTGACATGCGATGATGCCACTGACATGCGATGATGCCACTGACATGCGATGATGCCACTGACATGCGACGATGCCACTGACATGCGATGACGCCACTGACATGCGATGACGCCACTGACATGCGATGATGCCACTGACATGCGATGATGCCACTGACATGCGATGATGCCACTGACATGCGATGATGCCACTGACATGCGATGATGCCACTGACATGCGATGATGCCACTGACATGCGATGATGCCACTGACATGCGATGATGCCACTGACATGCGATGATGCCACTGAAATGCGATGATGCCACTGACATGCGATGATGCCACTGACATGCGATGATGCCACTGACATGCGATGATGCCACTGACATGCGATGATGCCACTGACATGCGATGATGCCACTGACATGCGATGATGCCACTGACATGCGATGATGCCACTGACATGCGATGATGCCACTGACATGCGATGACGCCACTGACATGCGATGACGCCACTGACATGCGATGACGCCACTGACATGCGATGACGCCAATGACATGCGATGATGCCACTGACATGCGATGATGCCACTGACATGCGATGATGCCACTGACATGCGATGATGCCACTGACATGCGATGATGCCACTGACATGCGATGACGCCACTGACATGCGATGACGCCACTGACATGCGATGACGCCACTGACATGCGATGACGCCACTGACATGCGATGATGCCACTGACATGCGATGATGCCACTGACATGCGATGATGACACTGACATGCGATGATGCCACTGACATGCGATGATGCCACTGACATGCGATGATGCCACTGACATGCGATGATGCCACTGACATGCGATGACGCCACTGACATGCGATGACGCCACTGACATGCGATGACGCCACTGACATGCGATGACGCCACTGACATGCGATGATGCCACTGACATGCGATGATGCCACTGACATGCGATGATGACACTGACATGCGATGATGCCACTGACATGCGATGATGCCACTGACATGCGATGATGCCACTGACATGCGATGATGCCACTGACATCTCACCTCAACGCCGTTGTACATGAGGTCGTGGGCCAGCGCCCTGGCAGTGCGGATGGTAGTTGAGAAGTATCTCATCTCAAAAGCCCCTGCTAGCATCTCATCTCACCTCTACGCTGTTGTACACCAAGAAGTAGGCCAGCACCCTGGCAGGTAGGTCGTAGGCGAGAGCCTGCAATTTAGCCCCAGGTAGGGGGAGTCATGGATCTGCATGGCACGACCCACAAACAGAATTCTTTACCTCCACGCCGTTGTACACGAGGTCGTAGGCGAGAGCCCTGGCCGTGCTGATGTCCGCCATGTCGTCCGGATGGGGGGCTGTGAATGGATGGTGCAGTGCCTGGAGAGGGGCGTGGGGAGGGGAAGTTGGGACGCATGTGGGATGGAAGAGAAGTGATGAAGGGATGGGAGAGAGTAGGTGCGAGGGATGGAAGACAAGACACACACACACACGCACACACACACACACACACACACCACTCCCACCACTCAGACACTCTCAGATCACACCTCTCACTCACACTACTCCCACCACTCCATCACATTTCTCACAAAGACACAACACATGCAGCCACACCCCCTCCAGCCATTCTCAGGCTTGTATGTACTGATGAAGGTTCGCAAGAACCGAAACTAGTTTACGCAAGTGCTGGATTAAGTTGACGATTTGTCTAAACAGGCTCTCTAATACAACGCTCTAAAGCTCACAGTTAACCGGGAACTTCACCCATCCCATGGGGTTTGTCTCGTCGTTTTATTAACCATAAGAGTTGATGGACGTAAGACCTCCGCAGCCCACCTGTCTGCATTCGACAACTACCACCCAGTCACACCCACTCACGCACCTCCAGGCGCTGCTCGCCCTCGTTCCACTCAAACATGGGGAAGTCTGTCACCCAGAGGATCGCCTCCGCTGATTCGTCAATCAGACCCAAGCTCCCCGCCACGTACAGCCGCAGCCGCCCGAGCGTTGCTGCCACCTGATTGGCCAGGCCCGCGGCGAATAAGACAAGATCGCCCGGTTGCGCGTCTACGGACTGCAGAAGGGCGGCTCTTTTGTCGGCATCTGAGAAGGCAGCAGAGATGGCTGGAATGGCCTCTATGTTGCCTGGGGCAGGGGGGAGAGGGATGGGATGTGAGGAGACACAAGAAGGAGCAAGTGGGAGCAGAGGAGAGGGAGTTTAGCAGAGTGGGGGAAATGAAAAATCAGTATAGAGGGATTTTAGTAGAGAAATATTCTAATAAAGAGGGATGAAGTAGAGAGGGATTTTAGTAGAGAAAGGTCAGAAGACAACGAGGAGTAAGTGGGAGAGGGGGATAGAAAATCCAGGAGGGAAGAAGGAGGAGCAAGTGAAGCCTATGTGACGGAAGATGCAAGACGCGTCTTGCGTCTAGCGTCTAGACGCAGCGTCTCTAGACGCTAGACGCTTGGGTGAAAAAATTCCGGTCAGCCCGAAAAAAAAAAATCGCGCGGCCGAAATTGAATTTCGCGATTTCGATGCGAAATTCAATTTCGCGACATTTGCACCCCCTCCCACCCATTTCGACCTTAGAAACAAGCCCCCCATGCAAAATTGATATCCCGTCAACCAAAATTGAACACAAACCTCTCTCAACCGCTTAGCATCTAGAAAACCCAACCTTGATGGCAAACCACCAATGTTAGAAATATATATAGCATGCTAAGTACTTGTGAATGTACACCAAGTGTGGTGTACAGTTGGGTTGGGACAACACCCAACTTTGAGTGTAGTCTTGCACTTTGGGGTGCCAATCCAACCCAATTGTGGTGGAGCCCCCAAATGCACCCATTGGTCCCTAAAGTTGGCAACACTTTGGGAATGTTGCCAACCCAACCCAATGGGCCATTGGTTGACAACACTTCCCCAAGTGTTGCCAACTTACCCCAATGGGCCATAGGTTGGCCCACTCTCCAAGTGTGGTCATCCTACCCCAATGGGCCATAGGTTGGCCTACTCCCCCAAGCAACACCTCCCTCCCCTTCCCTTCCAAGCTTCTTTTGCATCCTATGTATGCCCCCTTGTTTCCCAATGAAGCTAATCATTCACTTTACATTCTTCACAACCAAGAGCTTGGGAAGCACAAATTCCCCATTTGTGCTTCCCATCTTTCATTTCTACCCAATTCTCTTTCAAAAAGCCTTTAGGGTTTAGCTACTTCCCTCTCGAAACCATGTCGTCTCCTAGTTCTTCGTCTAGTTCTCGAAAATTTGACCCAAATGTGCCATATGTGCATGTCCCCCACCCTTCCCATGGCCCTCAGAAGTTTTTTTTGGCTGCCCGAACATTTTTTTAGGCCTGCCCGGGTTTTCGTCTAATATGCGTCTAACCTAGCCGGAAATGCGTCTAGCGTCTTAGACGCTGCGTCTAGACGCAACCGTCTAAGACGCTAGACGCGTATTCCGTCACATAGAGTGAGGCACAGCCAATTTGGACTGACCACACACACCTCGTGGAAAGGCAGGCCTTTGGCGCCGACACAGACAACTGGAGGAACCCTGCAGAGAATAGTATGTGCAATGCATGGGCAACTTGGTACTTGGAAAACCATACACACACACACACACACACACACACACACACACACACACACACACACCTTGCGGCAGCACCTTGAGGAAGGGCAGCCCCTTGGCGCCCGCCTTGACCGCCTCCTGAAACACGTCGCCCTTCTTCACCCGCGTCGCTGAAATCTTCGCTGCGCCGCCCGGCACTGATACTGCCCTCACCACCCCGCCTGCCTCCAGGGCAGATTCAAAAACTTTGAAGCCACTGCCCGCGACAATGTGCGAGATCTAGCGAGGGAAGCGGTAAAGAGAATGCGGGTGCAGAAAAAGGAAACAGGTGAGAGAGTGAGGGGCAGCAAGAAAACGAAATGCAAGATCATATGGCACGGAAATATATAAAAACATGTGCAGCAAAGCCATATATAGTGGCACAAAGAAGCAGGTGAGATGGCACCCCCGTGGATTAGAACGCCAGGATCGATCCACTTGTTTGAAATTAGGGGACTCACATCAGCTATCTCCATGCCGAACCTCAGGTCCGGTTTGTCCGAGCCAAAGCGGAGCATTGCTTCAGCGTAGGTTAGGCGGGGGAAAGTGCTTGGAAGCTTCACTCCCTTGATGGTTTGGAATAGCTGTTTGCATTTGCAGGGTGTTGGACGGGCATGGATGGAGCGAGTTGGGTATCGAATGGGAAAACAGGAGGAAGGGGAGACAAACAAGCGGCAAGGGGAAGAATCCGAGGCAGCAAACTGAAATATGAGGTGAGATGAAACTCTTTCAGTGAGCCGAGCCAACCCAGCCACCCCTCCCTGCTCCCGCCCTGCCACCCCGCTTCCCATCTCCCCTCCCTCTCCACCCCTCTCTTCCTCCCTCCCATCTTTCTCTCCCTCTCTCTGCCCCCTCCCACTCCTCACAGACCCCTGAGTGACTCACGTGCTGCATGAGCCGTTCGTTGAGGGCGAGCATCTCATCCAACGGTGTGAAAGAGAGCTCCATGTCCAGCTGCGTGAACTCGGGCTGGCGGTCCGCCCTCAGATCCTCGTCTCGAAAGCACCTGGGAGGGTTTGAAAGAAGGTGTGGAGAGCGGGGGGGGATTGGGAGTTGGGGGACGACAGGCAGTGATGCAGGAGAGTAGAAGGAGAGCTTCATGGGAGTCAATTGCGAGAATTCTCAAAAGTGACTCCCAAAAAGGCAGGCAGACAATCAGGGGAGGAGAAGGAGAGGTCCATGTCTAGCTGAGTGAACCCCGGCTGGCGGTCCGCCCTCAGATCCTCATCACAGAAGAGGTGTGGGTAGTGAAGAGGAGTGATATGGAGAAGGGAGTACATGCAGTGACGCAACTTGTTCGTCTCTTCATCTTCACTCACAACCCCACACGGCCCCCATTTCCCCATGCTCACCGTGCGACCTGGTAGTAGCGGTCGAAGTCAGACACCATCTGCTTGCATTGCAAGCACGCATGGTATGTGCAACACCTCACCGTACAGCAGCACTTTCGTGGACCGTGGCTCACCGTGCGACCTGGTAGTAGTAGTCGAAGCCACACACCATGAGCATATGCTTGCAAGCATGCATACATGCCATAGCCCATGCACGCCTCACCATACAACAGCAGCAACATTACCACACAGGCACGCCAGGCTCACCGTGCGACCTGGTAGTAGCGGTCGAAGCCAGACACCATGAGCATCTGCTTGAACAGCTGCGGGCTCTGTGGCAATGCATAGAACTCACCCCCCTGAAGGAGGAGGGAAGGAAGGGATAAAAGGGGGGAGGGTGAGTCACTTCTGCGGTAACGGGTGGAACTGGCCCGGGGAGGGAGGAGGGAGGGAGGGAGGGACGACAAGAAGCAGTTGGGGGGAGAGGTCGCTCGTGGTGGACTCTGCGGTAACGGGTCGGGTAGACCTTGCCCGCGTGAACGCGGATGGAGACAGTGTGGGGGGGCTTCTGGTTCTCCCGTGCGACAGCCGCAAAACTCGCCCTGGAGGGGGGAAGGGAAGGGAGGAACGGGGAGGGAGTGAGGAGGGAAAGCAGTGGTGGACCGTGGCGGCGTCACGGTGGGACGTGCATAATAGAACTCGCCCCCATGGCACGAGGAAACGAGGGAGCGATGAGGAAAACAAGGGGGGAAGCAATGCGGGGAGGGAAGGACGAGGAGGAAATGAGAAAAGTTTTTGCAGGGGCCTCTGCAATGGGGCTGGAAAAACGAGGGAGACGGGAGACAAAAGAAGGGGTGGGGGGGAGGGAAGGAAGGGGAGGGAATGGGGGGGTGGGAAGTGGGGATGGAGGAGGGGCAGTGCTGTGGGCTCTGTGTATGGCATAGGGGGGTATAGGACGAGCGAGAAGCGCATGAGAGGGAGGGACGGCGGTGGAAGGCTGTGAGAAAGAGCGCATGCGTGTGAGTAAGAGAGGCATGGAGGCATGGAGGCATGGAGGCATGGAGGCATGAATGGTTGGAAGTAACACCAAAGCTTCTCCTCCCCCTCCAGCGTATCACCACCTACGCATACACAAACCCCCCTCTGCACTCACATATGCTCTCCCCCCTCCGCCCCCCCACCTGCACTCGTTCCCCCAACACCCCCTGTGTGCCCCCCACCTGCACTCGTTCCCCCAACACCCCCTGTGTGCCCCCCACCTGCACTCGTTCCCCCAACACCCCCTGTGTGCCCTCTACCTGCACTCTGGACGGGACGAGGTAGTCGCGGGCGCCCTCAGGCGTGGAGCGCGTGAGGATGGGCGTCTCCACCTGGTGGGGTGGGGGGTGACACACAGACACGCAGGCAGGCACAAGCAGGCAGGGAGGGCGAGAGGGTAGGAGGGAACACTTTGAGGCGCCTCAAAAGTGGAGCGCGTGACAATGGGCGTCTCCACCGGGGGGGTGAGGGGTCACATCACACACAGGCACGCACGCAGGTAGGGAAAGAGGGCGAGAGGATAGGAGCGATCGAGGCATGGAGGGAAGCAAGCGAGCACACCGGTTAGAACGGGTTTGTGAATGGACCTCATGGGTGAGGTGGGGTGGGGGCAAGCACACAGACGATTCAGGATGTATGTATGCGCCCCCTTCGCTGCTCCCGTGAGGCGTAGCACCCATCTAACTCACCTCCACGAACCCCAGGTCGTCCTCCAGGAACCTTCTGAGCGTCTTCACGATCTGGTGGCGCCTGCGCATGTTGGCCGCCATGAGCGGCCGCCGCAGGTCCAGATGGCGGTAGCTGTGCATGGGGGGGGGGGGAGGAGGGGGAGAGGGGGGGGAACGGGGGAGAGAGGGGGAGGGGCCGGGCAAGAGATGGGGGAAACGGGGGAGAGAAGGGGCGGAGGGGAGTGTGCAGGGAGTCGGAGGGCGGGCAAAGGAAGGCAGCTCAGAATAGGGGCCAATAGGGAAAGGGAGCAGAGTGGGACTGCACGGGGGAAGGGGAAGTGGAGTCATGTATTTCGAAGCTCCTCCAGACTTGTCAGAGGTAGGAGGCAGGTACCATGCTGCACCACACTGTACCACACTGCAGTACCGCATTGCAGCAGCCTGCATCACATTGGCACCGAACTGAAGGTGAACTTTCTCCTTATGCTGTCACAGTACCATTCCAGGCAGGCTATACCGTAACTCCCCCGCACTGCATTGCACCACGCTTCACCGCACTGCATTTCAATGCACCAGGTGGCAGGTGCCACCGCTCTGAACCGTAGCTGCTACCTTTGGCTGTGACTCACCGCAGGCGCACCTCCTCCTTGATGTTGTCAGCACCCTCTGCTGCAGTCAGCGAGAAGGGCAGCGCCACACGCACCGCATTCAGCACCTCCACCTCCGATGCTATGACCTTCGGGGGTGGGGAGTGGGGGACAAACAGCACAGCAGCACATGATGGTATGGTCAACTCTCTCATCTCGCATACAGCAGCCCCTCGCTTTCAACAGCCCCTCGCTTTCAACAGCCCCTCGCTTTCAACAGCTCCTGGCAGTGCATTAGGTACCTCTACAGCACTTGTCATGCTATGACGACAAGTGTGGGCAGTCATGCACATGGCCGTCATGGCGTCATGGTGTCTTGGCATGGCAGCAATAAGGGCCTTCTCGCATCGCAGGCCACATAGCAATATGTGGCTGCACTACATTGCGTTGGGTACCTGACCTCTCATACTCTGACCTACAGAATGGGCATGGCGGTCACGTACAGCCACACGCCATACAGCCACACGCCATACAGCCACACGCCATACAGCCACACGCCATACAGCCACACGCCATACAGCCACACGCCATACAGCCACACGCCATACAGCCACACGCCATACAGCCACACGCCATACAGCCACACGCCATACAGCCACACGCCATACAGCCACACGCCATACAACCACACGCCATACAGCCACACGCCATACAGCCACACGCCATACAGCCACACGCCATACAGCCACACGCCATACAGCCACACGCCATACAGCCACACGCCATACAGCCACACGCCATACAGCCACACGCCATACAGCCACACGCCATACAGCCACACGCCATACAGCCACACGCCATACAGCCACACGCCATACAGCCACACGCCATACAGCCACACGCCATACAGCCACACGCCATACAGCCACACGCCATACAGCCACACGCCATACAGCCACACGCCATACAGCCACACGCCATACAGCCACACGCCATACAGCCACACGCCATACAGCCACACGCCATACAGCCACACGCCATACAGCCACACGCCATACAGCCACACGCCATACAGCCACACGCCATACAGCCACACGCCATACAGCCACACGCCATACAGCCACACGCCATACAGCCACACGCCATACAGCCACACGCCATACAGCCACACGCCATACAGCCACACGCCATACAGCCACACGCCATACAGCCACACGCCATACAGCCACACGCCATACAGCCACACGCCATACAGCCACACGCCATACAGCCACACGCCATACAGCCACACGCCATACAGCCACACGCCATACAGCCACACGCCATACAGCCACACGCCATACAGCACACGCCATACAGCCACACGCCATACAGCCACACGCCATACAGCCACACGCCATACAGCCACACGCCATACAGCCACACGCCATACAGCCACACGCCATACAGCCACACGCCATACAGCCACACGCCATACAGCCACACGCCATACAGCCACACGCCATACAGCCACACGCCATACAGCCACACGCCATACAGCCACACGCCATACAGCCACACGCCATACAGCCACACGCCATACAGCCACACGCCATACAGCCACACGCCATACAGCCACACGCCATACAGCCACACGCCATACAGCCACACGCCATACAGCCACACGCCATACAGCCACACGCCATACAGCCACACGCCATACAGCCACACGCCATACAGCCACACGCCATACAGCCACACGCCATACAGCCACACGCCATACAGCCACACGCCATACAACCACACGCCATACAACCACACGCCATACAACCACACGCCATACAACCACACGCCATACAACCACACGCCATACAACCACACGCCATACAACCATGCTCCCATTCACCATATCCGCCGACCATTTCCTAACCTCCCCTGTCGCTGGCACGCAACACACACACACACACCCACGCGCAATCCACCCGCTCACCTCTATCTCGCCCGTGGCCATCTTCCCATTGACCATGTCTGCAGGCCGCCTGCGCACCTCCCCTGCCACGCGCACCACATATTCCATGCGCACGCGCTGCGCCGCTGCATGCGCCTCCGGGTGATGCACGGGGTCTGACTTGACCTGGTGGAACGGCCGGGAGGGTGGCGGGGGAGAGGGGGGAGGAGGGGGGGGGAGGGGAGGGGGGAGGAGGGGGGGGGAGGGGGGGGGGGCGGAGAGGGGTGAGAGGTTGGAGAATGGAAGGTTATAGGAGGAAGGGATGAGAGGGGAAAGAGCATCTGCCTCCCTCCCCTGCCACGCGCACCACATAGTCCATGCGCTGCGCTGCTGCATGTGCATGTGCATGTGGGTGCTGCTCTGGGTCAGACTTGATCTGGTGTGGTGTGGGGGAGCGGAGGGAGGGATGAAGGAAGGGGCGAGAGGGCTGCTTCTCCCTCCCCTGTCACGCGCACCACATACCCCATGCGCACGCGCCGCGCTGCCACGTGGGCGTCTGGTGTGGGTACTGCTCGGGGTCTGACTTGCCCTGGTGGACAGGCATGGCGGAGGGAATGGGGCCCGCCATGTGTGCTTCTGAATTCCGTCCTCGCCTGCTATTCTGCTCGCCTTCTATTCTGCTCGCCTGCTATTCTGCGCGCCTGCTATTCTGCTCGCCTGCTGTTTTGCTCAACTTCTTTACTGCTCCCATCTCCCTCTCCCTCTCTCTCTTCAACACCTCTCCCGCTCTCCCTCGCTCACCTTCCCACCCCCCCTCCGCGCACCTGCACGATGCCCGAGTGGTCCCGCAGGCTGATGAAGATCACTCCGCCCAGCCCCCTCTGCGCGCCCACCCATCCGCACAGCTGCACGCGCGCGCCCTCGTCCGCCGCGCGCAGCTCCCCGCATAGGTGGCTCCGCATGGGCCATGTCAGCGGGGGGAATTCCGCCAGCGAGTTACTTCTCCCCCCGGCGGATTCCGCGCTCTCTGCGCCGCTTGCGCCTGGCGGGGATGGTTCCGCCAGATCGGAGCTGACATCAGTGTGCTGCGCCTGAGCCGCTGCGACCAGCGGAAGGCGCTTGCGCGGAACGGGGGTCATATGTTTTTCTGAAGAAAAATGGCGGAACACGCGGGGAAGCGCAGGGATCAGGGCGGGAGTTGGTGGGTTTTGGGGTTGCAGAGCCGTTGTGCGCAAGGACGCGACGGCATTGCCAGGCACGAACGAAACCGGTAGCTCGCCGGTGATTCTTCCCGCGATCTGCGCCGTGGCACGCGGAAGCAAGAGGCTAACGGCGCGCGCAGGAGCGAAGGCGCGGGGCGGCGCCATATCGGGCGCTCCGAGGATCTGTTGGCGGAGTGAAGGTAGCGAATGTGACAATAGCGAGGCAATACTGAGACTGCAGCGGGGCAAACTGGATAACGGGCGTTTGTTAAGAAAGGCACGTAACATGAGCTTGATCAGGGCGGGTTAGTCAGCATGGCACTAACGCTGCCATGAAAAATGGACCGAGATTATCGGGAGCGATACTTCCATTCTTGTGTCTCCTTCGTAACTGGGTGTTTTCTCAATTACTCTTGTTACCACAACGATGTGAGCACGCGAACTCAACGGGGCTGTTGAGAACAAACTTTCTGAGGAAACGACATGCTCTTGAAGTATGCGAAGAATTACGACAATTGTTTCGCACAAGTACAACAATTCACAAAGAATTGGTCTTGGCCTTGGCATTTTTCCAGAACATGTTGGAATAGGTGAAGGTTTCTTGTAATGAAACAACTGCATAACGCGTACACAACTATTCCCTCCACTGTACACCCAACAGTAGCCCGTTGCCACCTCGCGACACTTGCCTCGGCACTGTTCCTGCCAAAACGACCATAGCGCCCAAACCACCCGGCTTGGCTGGTAACCCGCGACCCGGCCCTACGCTTCGACATTTCCCAACCTCGGCATCAGGCCCGACAGGGCACCTCTTCGCGAGCGCATTATCGTTACGGAAACGCTTCGCATAAAAATTTGTTCATGCCTATTATTGCGATATCAAACTAAATGAAGAACATTCCTGTACGCAATAGGAGCCAGCACTACCGAGTACGAAGTCGAGGAGTCAGGAGCAGGGCTGTCGATTGCAGGGCGTTTGCCCTGCTGGACCTTGGATTCAAGGGCTGGGTTGCCCTTGAAAGCTGAAATTGATGGGTTGGAATTTTTTTGGCCCTGATTTCTTACAGGGCTGATTTTGGGTGTAGGCCTGGTGTGTAAAGGGTTGATTTTAATCAAGCCCTGGAACAGAATCTTTCGAACCCACCCCACCCCTCCCAACTCCTACACTCCCCCCTCCCCCTCGTTTCTACCCTAGTTGAATCCAACCTTGCACATTTGCATATTCGTGGTTGGGCCACGAATTCAAGTCCACCCCACCCAAACTTGTGCTCGCGCCAATCACAACTTCGCTCCCTTGCCATAGGACACACAGTTTTTAGCATGAATCAGCATAGCAGCAGCAAAACACATCTCAGATCCCCGTGCGTGACCCGTCGTGCAGTGTGCCAGCATGAATCAGCAGCATAGCAGCGCCAAAACACCTCTCAGATCCCCGTCGTGCAGTGCGCCTCGTACTCCACGACGATACCACGAGACGAGTAGAGAGAGGGAACGTGCCATGACAGCCTTCCCTCCCTCAACTTTCTGCTCTAGTCTCTTCGACGATCCATCCATCCCTTCGTGCTCTCACACTAGGCATTGCCTATTTTAAAGTCCATGATGTTTCACAGTTACGCATCATGGCAGCCCTCCCAGAAATTGAGTTTTCTAGTGATGACGAAGTTGAGGCACGTACAGCATCAACCGTCCCAGTTCCCCGAGTTTTCAACTCCCCTCCCCTCTCTACATCGCCCGAAGCCTTAGATTCTGATAGTGAGGACGAGGCTACTGGTGATGGCGCGCACGAGAACTTCCACAAGGTCGAAGTGCAGCAAGTCGATCGCGTGTCTCGTCGCGCCAGTGAAGCTTCTTCCACTCCCGGCCAGCGCATGCGTCAGAAGCGACTGACGTGGTCGAACCACACCTTCCTCCTCGTAAGCGCTCGAGGAAGGTATCGACGGTGGATGACATGCCCGCTCCTGCTGTGGATAATGGCGCGGAACGCAAGGATGTCCCAGCCTCAGAGAAGAAACTGGTCGAGAAGTGGAATGCTGGGTGGAAGCAAACGTTCAAGTGGCTAGTGCTCGAGTACGACGACGAGCAACAGATGTACGGTATGAAGTGTACCATCTGCAAAGCCCATGCCAAGAACAGTAAGTTTCCGTTTTGACCTCTTGGCATCGGAGTGCGAGATTTTCAGGTGGGGAGCCTCAGAGGCCATGGATTCACGAGGCTACACCTTGCTGTTGTGGTAGCCAAGAGGATTGCTGGGGGCACTGAGAGGCAACAGCGCAGTATCTTGGAACTCCTAAGCGCTGAGCCGCTGACCTGCAGGGTGGTGAAATGTCTTCAGGCAGCTTACTGGTGTTCGCGAAATGATGCACCAATCATGCTCTACACGCTTCTTGTTAAGTTCATGGCTGAGCACGGCTGCGCAGACATGACCAATGAAGAGGCATACGGGCGATACTATTCAAGGTAATGCGCTGTTATTTCTGTTTGTTACCATTATAGAATCTAACAATCTGCTTTTGCACCCAAGCAGATACGCCTTCGGCGAGTTCGTTTCGGCGCTAGCAAGCTATCTCCAAGGGCGCCAGCTGGCAGACGTACAAGCCTCGCCATGGTTCGGGCTCTCATTCGATGATTGCACAGACCGCGCGCACGGCAAGCACATGGTCATGTATAAGCACTTCGAGCGCAACGAGCAGCTGGAGGTGCAGTTTTTTGGAAACATACCAGTCGACAAAGCCGACGGCGCCTCGCTGTACGCCTCCGTCATGGCGCATCTTGACGGCAAAGGATTGTCCTTGGACAAGTTCGTGGGTGTGTCCACGGATGGTGCCAAGGTTATGGTGCGAAGGAAGAAGGGAGTTGTGGGCCGTTTACTGATTTTTAACTCGTGTTTCAATGGTTCCCGTGCCGCAGGGAGGCGTTGGTAGCAAAGGATGCTGCCAAGAAGTTCCCTGATTTCAACATCATTGACTCACAGATTCGCAAGACTACTGAGCACATCGGCCGCTCCAGCATCTCCAGAGATGCCTTCATGGAGCTACAGGATGTGGTTCTGAAAACCCAACTGGAAGTCCAGAGCATTTTCAACGTGTGCTGGCTTTCACACGGGGATGCAGTGGCGCGGTTTAGCGAAGTGCTGCCTATCCTCCTCTGGCTTTGGCACAAAGAGGACCAAGCCGCATACAAGATCGGCACAAGTTTCAAGTTTCAGTTCATGCTCTTCTTCCTCGCCGACGTGCTGGAGATGCTCGACACCCTCAACATGGCGTTTCAAAGGCTGGTGGTAAGTTTGCATCATGGTCTATGTGTATGCATTGTTTTTAAAGCTCTTTATTAACTTTCCTTCCTTGGCTCATGAGTAGGTGGACATCAGCGAGGTGAAGCTCCTCGTCGATAAACTGAAGCTGCAGCTAGCGCGACGTTACGTGGAGAAGCGCACAGATTATGGGACCCCGAAGAGCAAGCACCTGCACGCATTTCTCGAGAAGCACGGCAGCCCTGACAAGCGTGAGATCACCATCCAGGGCCTCGACAAGCAAGGGAACGCGTGCACCATCAAGGACGTGCTGCATGAAGACCCCATCGGAGAAGGCATGGGGACGGACCTGGAATCATGCATCAAGCTGGGGCAGCAGTTTGCGCAGGAGTTGATCGCAAAGCTGGACTGCCGGCTTGGCGACCTGAAGCATCTTGAAGGGGCAAAACTCTTCATGCCAAACCACTACCCCCCGCGGCTTGCTGATCGTGAACCCTGGCTCAACGCCCACCTGTACGAACTCCTTGACATGTTCAAGGAGAAGCGGCCCGGTACGTAAGAATGCAAATGATCGTGAATGTTTATGACACCCATCAGTGTCATTATCATAGGTGCTTCATTGTTTCACTTATTTCTCCTACGCCCACCCCACCACCCGCAGGCGTCACGTACAAGGCGTGTCAGCTGGAGTTGGAGCTCTTTGCTGTAACAATGTTCAAGAAGTTCAAGGACATGACTTTCCAGCAAGCCCTTACTAACGTGCTACGCACCTCAGACTGGAGGGATGATTACCCCACCCTCGTGCACTTGTGGCGTGCACTTGTCTGCCCCTTAGCACTGTTGAGTGCAAAAGGGGCTTCAGTAGGCAGAACATAATCAAATCATGGGACAGGGCTGCTCTTAGTGATGTTAAGCTAGATCAGCTGATGATTGTGAAGATGCTAGACTATCCTATGGAGTGGGCAGAAGTGCACAGGATCTTCAGTGCTGCCAAGGCCAGGAAGCCTGCTAAGCGTGCGTAGGGAAATGACGCTATCTAGTTTTGTTATAAGTGTTAGCTTGTAGTTTGCAGCTGTAGGCATTGTAGTTAAAACAAGGCAGCACAATTTGCCGCGCCAACCCTGATTCAAAGGGAGGATTTTTTTCCAGCCGTGAAGCCTGAAGGGCCGAAATTTGCCCCGACCCTGCTAGATACATGGTCGCACATGGCAGGCCCCCTGATTTGTCCGTGGGCTCCAAACGAATCGACAGCCCTGGTCAGGAGAATCGAAGCGACGGAAGCAGTTGTCAGATGAAGACTGATGCAGGCAGGAGTGAACTAGAAATGGCGCGAACAAGACTGAAACGGGTTCCTGCGCCGCACAGTGGATATCAATGTAATAAGGGAATGTACCCCTTAGAGTACATGGCTAGCTAGGTTGTTTCGTACTCTTGATGTATTCTTATATAACGCTTCTTGGGCTGAGAAAGACCCTTAGGGTCGTTTTCAAGGACTTAGGCTCAAAGTGATGTATTAGCGGAAGCGTTTAATGAAGGCTAATCGAACCACCTTGCACTGGTGTGTGAGAACAAGATAAGTTGATTATAGTAAGGATCACAAAGCTTCTTATATGATTACAAGGAATATGAAAGGTTTAACTAACTGCTGCTGTTGAGATTCGATACAGCGACGACTCGGGTAACTGCTCAATAGCGAGTCAGTTATGTGTCCTTGCTGTCGCGCTGCTTTCGGCGAGTCAAAGGTCGCTGACCTTTGAGCTTCGCTTAACCTCTTGCAGTTGCTTTTTGTCAACCGCTTTGCTGTAGTTCGGTTGACTCGCGGTTTCTTCGCTGTAGTTCGCTTCGCTTACGTTGTGGTACTCGACACGTCAGAAGCGCGAACTATATGTTTCCAACACTCCCCTTCGCTTCTAGA